TAATTTTCGTCCAGCCAGTTTCTAACTATTCTCGAATAATGAGCTGGACAACCATCAAGCTGGAACCAGGCCAATCTTCTTGAATCTAACATAACATCATCCCACATATTTGCATGTTCAGCCTTTAAAAATTCCAAGAAGGTCGCAGCATTTAACCTTGCAGGCAAAAGGTAGGGTCCAAATAGTCGATTACCGTAGATACCAATCCACACGTTCACACTAAATTCATGCTGACAATTTCTTTCCCGAACTGCATGCGGATTTTCATGCGACCAAATATGTTGATTATGAAAATTTACCACTCCACGTCTAGTGAAGCATTACTCATCGGTCCATAAAACGTTACTTAAAAACTCCCTATTATTATCAGTTCTATTAAGAATCCACTGACAAAATGTGATTCTTCGTTCTGCGTCCCCTGGCTGTAGTCCTTGCACAGGTTGCAAATGGTAAGAACGTCTATGGTCATTTCTAAGAACACGGTGAAAATGGCTTGCTGAAATTCCCAAGGCACCAGATACTCTCCTAACACTTGTGGTCGGATCTCTATCAAACTCACGCAGAATTATACGGGTAAATCTGCGCTGACGAACATTTATGTTTTGATCCCTTTGGAGATTTCCAAAACCATTTTCAATTATTTGGCGATGCACTCTTACAAATTCTGAGCGAGTTGGATGTCGTCTGTTTGGAAATCTTCGTGCGTATTCTCTGGCTGCTTCTGCTGAGTTTCCACTTACAAAGCCATACACAAAATTAATATCCGCTAACTCTTGATTGGAGAATAAAAATGGCATTTTTATAAAACTTACAAAAAAAAAAAACAGTTAAAAGAAACTAAATTTCGTGCATTCATAATTGCAAAAAAACGTTTCAGGTTTCAACAGACAACAAAACTAACTGTCAACTAATTGACGTTTAACCTTATTCTGCTTTCAATTTCAAAAATATTTGCAGGCACAGCCTACTTCTAAAAATTATCGAGATACTGACTTTTTAACGTTACTTTATCATAAATAGTTAAAAATGTATCGAACCTTAAAAATCTAATTATCTCAAAAACGGCTAAATATAACGAAAACTCACAAGAGAGCTTTTTTATGGTGAAAAGTGCGAAGGATCAGTTTTTTTATTCAAAAAGCAAAAAATTGCACTAAGAAAAAATTTTCGGTCATTTTAATACACTACAGGTACAGTAGAGAGCGCCCTCTAGCGGCTACAGTAAAACTATGCCCATGGTTCGTTTTGTCGTACCAAAGAACCCTTCTATACCCATTTTCACTGTTATGCATCAAATATTGTTCGAAACATTTAAAAAAAACTATTTTAGATAGTAAATTTAAACACCCTGTATTTCGGAAGCCACGCATTTTTCGACCAATGTTTATATAGACTTTATGCATTAATTTTAAAAGTTCTATCGAATATATAAACTGAAACACCCTGTATAATCCACACACGGACAATGCCTTCTGTGGATTTTCCATATATATTTGTCCATTTTCAAACACCTTTGTATTTTGACGAACATTTGATCTGAGGCCTCGTAGAAGATTGGTCACTCAAAACTGCCCCCGTAAGCCTTGATAGTCGAATCAGAATTAATTTATCATATATAGCCTCTTGGATGAAAGGATCGGCTTATACCGACGGACGAGGCTCATCCAGTAATGTCCCTAGGTCTGGCACATTTTCAGAACGTGCGTTGCTTTTCTGTGTAACGTTTTCTTAATCCTCGGCTTAGAGTCGAAATGTGCGACTGACGCCGACGAATCTCCCTGAAGACGGATTGCCTTTTCCCAAAGAACCCGTCCAGTTCCTATATCTGACTCCGACGGGGGACAGAGACGGAGTAAGGGCCTATGTGTTGTGACACAAAAAACACTCAAGTGCTTGAGAGTTACGGGAACCATACCTTCTTGAACGTTTGTTTAATCTGTCACGGTTTCACCGTCCGATTGTATTTATTGAATCACTACTCGATTTTCATTTCAGAATCGCAACTCATTAATCCCATCTCTAGCTTTTTTACTTGGAAAAGTTTCCGCTTAGATAGATAGATAGATAGTTTATTGTCCTATTGGATCATGTTACATGATATAAGACTTGTCAATATCAATTTGAGGGTCATATATGCGTTTGAGCAAATATGCCAGAAAAATACTTATAATTATAAAATAAATAAGGACGTTACAATTCCAAAACATTTTAAAAGGTTAAATCACATTATAGGTACAGGTACAGTGCAAGAATCGTAATGTGTTCAATCTGTAACGGTAAAAATATATACATATACAGCGACTTCTTGTTATCACAAAAAATGTTCGTCTAGCCGGTAAAAATCATTGAAGCTGATACAAAGAAAACATAATATATAAACACAATAAACATCGAGCAGTGAGGACAAATGGTTAAAAGCTTAAAAAGAAAACATACATACCTTCGTTAAAACTCGAATAAAAAGTGAAATTAAAATACATTTACTCCACGATAATTGATAATTCATTGATCACGAAATGATTAACAGCTTAAAAGAATTTAAAAACAGATACCTTCATGTGTTAGTAAAACTCATGTAGAGAGTAATAGCATTTTTCAACCAGATATTTCCTGAGATGTTTTTTCAGCGCAAGGATATTAGTGCTTCTCCGCAACTCACCCTGCAGATTATTGTATACCTTAGTGCACGCTAGAGTGGGAGATTTTTGGAATAGGGCAGAGTTATGTGTCGGTATACTCAGATCATGCCCTATTCTAGTGTTGTATTGACTATTAATGACGTTGTTACGAACAAATCTATTGCTATGTTCAAATGCAAAGATGGCACATTTGTAGATATAGATGGAAGCTAATGTAAGCAGATTATAGCGCCTAAATATTTCTTTACAAGAGTCCCTCTTATTAATATTAAAAATTAATCGAAGTACTCTTTTCTGCAGGATGAATAATCTGTTAATCATTGTTGCCTGTCCCCATATGATTATATTGTTAGTGAGGTGAGAATAAACTAGCGCGTAGTACATATCTAAGAGTGAGTTTAGATGGATGTTAGGCTTTAATTTCAATATTGCAAAATAAGCACTGTTAATTTTGTTGCAAATGTGATTTATTTGTGGTTGCCAGCTTAACTTACTATCAACATGAGTTCCTAAGAAGACAGTTTGATCTGAAAAGCTATCAATATCCATGCGGGGTTTCTTGTTGAAGAAATTAATTTCAATAGTCTTATCTTCATTCAAAATGAGGCGGTTAGACTGGCACCACTTGCTCATTTCACTTTTGACTTTATCAATAGATTCGAGAAGATCCTGCGGTATCGTGGCACTGACGACGATAGATGTGTCATCCGCATAATTAATCATGAAGCCAGACAATTTCAAGTCATTTATGTATACAATGAAGAGCAGTGGTGCAAGTACTGAGCCTTGTGCCGCACCTATATTCACGGAATATTGAGTTGACGTATGGCCATTGACCTTCGTTTCCAATTTTTTATCTGTGAGGAAAGACTGGGTCCAGCTGAGAATAAAATCCCTTATACCTAAGCAGTACAATTTTTCCACGATAAACGAAATATTCATAATATCGAATGCTTTCGAAAGGTCAAAAAATAGTCCAGCAACGTATCTGTTTTCGTCTACTTCTCTATACATATGGGAAAAAATGTCAAAAGTCGCCGTTTCTATAGATCGTGAGGGTCTAAACCCATGCTGGGTATCCGATAAGACATTATAGCGATTGAGAAAACATAATATACGTTTATACAGACATTTTTCAATGACTTTAGAGATCATCGATAAAAGTGATATTGGTCTGTAGTTTTCAAGGTCTGTACGGTCACTCTTTTTGTATGCGGGAATAACAATAGCTAGTTTCAAGCATTTCGGGAATTTACCTTGCTTCACTGATTTATTAATAAGGACTGATAGGGGTGAAGATATTTCACGTTTTATAAACTTTATGACACGCGTTAAAATTCCATCATTTCCACTGCTTCTTTTATTTGGAAGGCTGCTGATTACTTCCACGATCTCTTCAGTGGTGACATCCTCGTGGAATATTGATGATGCTACCCGATTTTGTGATGGACATCTTGATGGGTTGTCATATTTAAAATGTTCTGCTAACTTGCTCTCTGCTATTGTGGAAAAATACTTGCCAAACTTGTCGGGTACGAGGGTGTCAGTAAATTCTTTGTCTTCATTTTTCAGCACTATTTGATGATGTTTCTTTACTCTTCCGGTTTCTTCATTGACTATTTCCCATATTTTTTTAGCTTTGTTGTTGCTGGATTTTATTAGACTACTGTAATACTCTTTTTTTGTTGAAGAAATTAATTTCTTGTGGTCTTTCTTGTTGTCAATGTACTGCTGTCTCATACTTACATTGTCTTCATGCCTTTTCACCAAATTATGTAGTTTTCTCAGATATAGGCTGGACTGTTGGATTTTTGGCGTCACCCACGGTTTAGATTTCTGCTTTTTGTGTCGTGTTTTATGCCTCTGGGGACATTTCAAATCAAAATGCCACAAAAAATTGTTGAGAAACCGTTCAAATTCTGCATCAATATCGTCCTCGCCAATATTAAAGTTTTCCTGAGCTAAGCTAACTTTAAGGTGATTTAAATTATCGTCATTTATAGGCCTTGTCAAGAGCAAGTGGTTCGAGGTTGTCGTGGGATGCATGAGAGAGCTAAAGAAGTTGTGCAGTGTGGTCTGAAATGTGGGGTTCAAAGATTGTACATGTCAATTGCCTGGGTCTGAAGTTCGTAATGATATAATCTATTGATGTACGTGTCATTATGTTATTTTGGTTCACTGCAGTGCGAGTAGCACTATTACAGTGATTTATCATGTTGTAGGATGATATCAAATCTTGAAGTAGATATGAATTTATGCTGGGTTTCAGGCTATCTATGTTAAGATCCACACAAATAATGTTTTTGCTACTCTCCAAAAATAACCTGTCCAATATATTCCCTAAATTCTCCAGAAATATCGCTACGTTACCAGATGGTGGGCGATATACACAAGCTTCTCATAAGATCTTCCGGAATTCATTGTAAGTCCACATGCCTCGATTTCTCCCTCTTCCGAAGCCTTGCCCACGAACGGTATGCATTTGGCTGTTAAACTGTTTTTGACATAAATTGCACATCCTCCATGTATGCGTCTCACTCGACAGAAGCACGAGATAAGGGTATAGCCGTCTATATTCGCGGATTCTATAGCGTCCAATGGTAACCACGTTTCGGTAAGACATAGTACATCTGGCGACGAATCGTTAACAAGTAGCTCCATTTCACCGAATTTATTTAAGAGACTGCAAACATTAAGATGAATTATTTTGAAGTTATTCTCTTCGAGGCATTTCTTTGAAAATTTTGTTGTTTTGATGACTTCTGTTTACTTTGCGAGGCGACAAATTTAGTGGAGTTAGATATTATAGTGTGCATTGGGCAAGGTGGTCATTGGACTTCTAGTGTTCTGTGTATTAGCTTCCGGTGAAATAAGCGTTCGCTGTGTGTGGTGTCTTGTTGATGGCCCTTGCTTGACTGTGGCAGAGGTATCTTTCGGTGTGACTTGTGACGCTGACGATGACGTGCATTCAGGGCGTTTTTCATGTTCGTTTAGAGTTTGTGGTGGTGGCATTATTTCGTTGCTATCTGAGTTGAATAATGATGATGGTCTTGTTCCAAAGCTGTTGTGTATTATTAGTTCTGAGATTTCGTGGCAGAGCCTATGTTTGGAGCGCGCTTGATGCTGGCAATAACATCCACGTGTTGAGTTCCTGATCTGTGATCTTCCTCGCGGTTTCTTTTCACTTCAGCCGCCGATCTAACAACAACTGACAATTTTCTTCTCTATAGCATGAAATCATATAGCACCATGTGCTAGCATTTTATAAAATGTGTCTCTGAATAGGATAAAAAGATTGGGGCCACCCCCTTTGTCTTTGACTTTGACTTTGCCTTCATCCATACTTTGGCTTACCTATTGCTTGGCCTATCACTTTGCCGTGCCTTCACCCACGCATGTGCCTTGGCTGCGCCATCACTTACAGCTTCATCCTTAATGAAGATCACCTTTAAGTTCAACTTCACTGCATCCTTCGCCTACATCTTGTTTTGCAGCCACTAAATTAGGATAGTTATTTTTGCAGAGAATATTATACTACTAGTAAGGTTATTTAGTATTTTAGCTTCAGCTAGCTCATACACAAGGATTGAGTTATTTTAGTTACTCTTAGTTTTTTGCAGTATTACTGTTTTTGCCTATTACATGAAATACATAAAAATCGGATGTTTAAATATTAGATCTATCGTACCATCTCTGAATGAATTGGAAATTATTCTTGGCAATGCAAAATTTGATATATTTTTTGTTTGTGAAACATGGTTGAGAAATAGTATTGATGACGCATCTATTAATTGCAGTGGTTTTAGTATTTTAAGGAAAGATCGGGGTACAAAAGGAGGTGGTCTGTTAGCTTATGTTAAGGAATGTTACACTTTCGACTTAATAGATACAAGTGATTTATTTAGTGAACAGCTTTGGTTAAAAATTGTAATCAACGAAAAATCGTACGGTTTTGGTTTAATATACAGGCCTCCGAATATGTATGTTAATAGTTTTCTAGATGAATTTGAATGTGTTTTGAGTACGATTTATCCAACAGTTGATGAAGTCATATGCACGGGAGATTTTAATATTAACCTGATAAACGTCGATCAAGCACATGTGGTAAGATTTTATTCTGTTCTAGACTCTTTCTCGATTAAGCAAATGATAGACTGTCCAACTAGAATCTCTGGTGCATGTGCAAGTTTATTGGATCTTATCATTTCTGGCGATGAGGTTGTATTTGATACAGGTGTCATGGATAGTGGTGGTATGTCGGATCATTTTATAATTTTTGGTAAGGTAAATGTTAGTGAAGTAAGAAATAAACCTAAAATCATTACTATTCGCTCATATAAAAACTTTAATGAAGACAGTTTTTGCAGGGATCTATTTGCAACCCCGTTTTTCATGCTATTTGACCAAGATAGCGCCGACTCTAAAGTTGCGTTTCTTACAAACCTGCTTACAAACCTTTTTGATAGGCATTTTCCTTTGGTATCAATGAGAGTTACTAAACCTAGAGCCCCATGGCTTACAGATGTGGTGAAGCGAATGCAGAATCTCAGGGACAGGGCGCTGCTTAGATTTAGAAGAACAGGACTGAATGCTCATTTGCGATACTATCAGGACTTGCGTAATTTAGTTAATGCTGCTATCATCAGAGAAAAAAAATCTTATTATACATACATATTAGAAAGTTGCAGTTCAACAGAAATGTGGAAAAGGTTAAGGAACAATGGAAGAGTCTCTCAAAAGGATAACACCATTCCAAATTCCTTTAATGATGTCAATGAACTTAATAATTTTTTTGTATACAGTATACCTAATATACAGCCTTCTCCTAACTTAATAAATTTCTACAGAAATACTAGGAGGAATTCTTCAAATTTTGAATTCAAAGAAGTTAATGATTTATTTGTTTATGAAGCAATTTGCCGTATTAAAACTAATGCTCGTGGTTGCGATGGTTTTAATTTAAATTTTATTAAACTATGTTGCCCTCATATTATTCCTTATTTAACTCATATAGTTAATTTTTGTTTTACGCATAATCAGTTCCCTGATCTGTGGAAGCAAGCAAATGTCTGTGTTCTGCCAAAAAAACCTAATCCTTCAGATCCTAAAGATCTCAGAGGGATTAGTGTTTTACCATTTTTCTCTAAATTACTTGAGCGTGCAATGGAGGAGCAACTTTCTTATCATTTGTCACAATTTTCATTACTGCCAATTGTACAGTCTGGATTTAGGAAAAATCATAGCTGTACGGCGTCTTTACTTCATGTAACAGACGACATAATTAGAGCTACAGATCGTGGCGAGTGTACTGTTCTTGTTCTGCTGGATTTCAGCAGAGCGTTTGATACTTTAAACCATCAATTAATGCTTGCTATTTTACATCATATTGGTCTTTCTCAAAACGCTATAGATTTATTTCAGTGCTACTTCACTAAGCGGAAACAAACAGTTGTTTAAATGGAGTTCAGTCTTTATCTTTAAATTTGAAATCCGGCGTACCCCAAGGGTCCATACTTGGACCACTCCTATTTCTAATTTATACATCTAATTTCATGCACTTCCTTAGTCTATGTAATGTGCATTTTTACGCTGATGACACCCAAATCTATTGCAGCTTCCCCCCACAATTGATGGATCGTTTCTTGTTGATCATTAATAATGAGCTAAACTCCTTTGTAGAATGTGCCACACGCCACTGTCTTTTAATAAATCCATCAAAGTCTCACGTAATTGTTTTTGGACCTAGACAAAATAAAAATGTTGGAGAATGAGAATGTTATTAAAATTGAGATAAATGGTGTAACTCTCAAAATAATGGACAATGTAAAAAATTTAGGTGTTGTGATTGATAGTAATCTTCGATTTGAGTATCACATCAACAAAATTGTGCAGAGAGCATATTTGTCGTTGAAATTTATTTACGGTAGCCGGAAATTTCTCTCGTTAAAACTTAAGATCATGCTATGTGATACTTTAGTATTATCTTTATTCAACTATGCTGATGTGCTTTACGGCCCACACTTAACTAACCTGTATCGACGTAAAGTTCAACTGGTTCAAAACTCATGCTTGCGCCTTGCATTTGGTATACAGAGGAGACATAGAATATCTCACAAATCGAAAGATGCAGGTTGGTTAAATATGGAAAATCGTAGGCTCCTCCACTCTGCTGTTTTTATCATAAATTAATTTTAGTCAGAACACCACAATATCTTTATCAAAAAATAACCTACTGGACTGACGTTCATTACATTAACGTAAGAAGTAAGGGTCTTATTTCGCCACCCAAGTTTAGAACGTCAATCTTCAAATGGAGCTTCACATACCAAATATATAAAGTCTACAACTCATTCCGGAAGGAACTAAAATTTTCAACTTCAAAGCCATGTTTAAAAAGGAACTGCTGAAAAAACAGTAGCACCGCATGAATGAATGAATGATTGTGTTTTTTTTGTTAGCGTGTAGGTATGTCCCTCTTTTATAGTGACATGTATGTATTATCGGTTCATCGGATGTCATATGTCGTAGAGGATACTGGGCTAAGTGGAAGAGCAGGTTGTTGGTACTGTGTACTAATCAAACTGAACTTCGCCTTTTATTGACACTGGATGTACTTATGTTCACTTACCATTTTGTCAATGTCTTATGTCAATAATAAAGACGGTTATTGTTATTATTATTAAATATGAGGTCACCCCTCATAACTGGGACCTCCACTTGAAGCCCTTGGCCATCCTCGCTTCAGTCCAGTCAAAATGGACCAGCTTAGCGAAAGATAAGTGGATAATTTTGTAACAGCGCCAAAGATTTAAATCTTTTATTTTGTTCTTTAAAATTTCAACAATGTTAATTCTCAAATGTAATGAAAATGCTTTTCTAGTTTAATAAAATCTGTTAATTGTTTGTGTTCTGTTTGTTCTTCTATCCTCTAGCCATGCCATGGTCGACACACAGCTACACGCCTGTAGATGTCTTCATGCCACCGACTGAGCTACCGGAAGCTAATGGTAACCCCCTTTCTGTGATTGTGCAGAAAAATTGCATTCCATCTTTTCTGGACTTCTTGCGGAAAGCAAGGTTTACAAATCTGGGATGTTTATCACATCTCGTATGTTCTAAATGTTAGTGCGCAAAATTCATTGGCTTTAATCTTAACAAACACAAATAATATCAAGTTGCCTTTGGAAACAAAAGTTTGTTTACTTCCTTTACTGTCAGTTGACCTGCATCTATTCTGAAGCTTTCGCTTTAAGATGTATAAATTAGAAATAAGAAAATAGGTTGGTCGAGTACCCAAAGCTAAAATCTGTCGAATATTTCAGGATGAAAACATTTCACGTAGAACCACTTATCTAACAATAGCGCAGTGCCATGACTGATCTCACAAAAAGTGGAAGACCAGGCGCATTTACTGTACATCAGAGAGATTGGTGAAAAGAGCAAAAAGCCAAGGAGACTGGCTCGTCAATACAGATCTTCTAAGGGCCAATATCACCAACAATAACAATTGACGGTCAGTTGGACCAATAGGAAATCCTTATCCTTATCGAAATGCAATTTGACGGGGGCTGTCAAACCTCTCTGAATATCAGTGATTTCTATTGGAATGTTGAATAAAGTCGTGAAAACACGGTTGCCTTATAAATAAGGGTACACTATTC